GGCGGCCCGGCCACGGCGCCCAGGAACGGCGGCGGTGGAGCCGAGCCTGGAACCACAGCCCCACCTACGGGCGGCGGCGGCGGCGGCTGCCCAACGCCAAAGCTCTGCGGCGGGGCCGCGACGGGCTGGCTCATCCTCTCCGACGGGGGCAGCTGTGACACAGCAGTCAGCGAGCTGTCAGTGCCCGAGTCGGGCCCGGGCGCCCCCTGCATGGAGGCCACCACCACCACCACCGACCCGCCGGTGGCGCCCAGGCCGCTGTCCCGCTCCGCAGTCTGCTCGAAAGTACTGCTGTGCCGAATGCAGTCCCCGGAGCGGGTCAGGACGCTGCTGTCCGAGTCGCGCTCGTAGTACTCCATGCACGTCCACCGGCCACGCCGGTACGGCTCCCCGCTGCCGTGGTCCAGCTTGATCACGCGGAATCGGGAGCTACAGACGGCGGGCGGCTGCGAGGGGGCCGCAGTCCCGGTCCCGGCGGAGGGGCCCGCGCCCGGGGGGGTGCCGGGGGCGGGGGCCGAGGTGGCGGCCGCCGCCAGGGTACTGGCCAGAGCCCCGGCCACGCTGCGGGCCGGGCCGGCTCCTCCTCCGTTGGCGGGCGCAGCCGCGGCGGCTGCCAGCTGTCCATCCAGGAGGAGGTTCGGTGAGACGGTCCCGGGGGTCTCCGCCTCCCCGACATTGTTGAGCGTCTCTTCGGAGGAGCTGCGCTCGCAGACCTCCTCGGGGCCGTAATCCGTGGCCCGGGAAACGTCGAATATCTCGGACGAGACGTCCTCCGTGCGCGACTCGTCCGGGTCGTCCAGGCTCTCGGTGTCCTCGGTGATGCTGGTGGCCACCTGGGCCGTGGTGACACTGGTGATCTGGAAGCAGCTCTTCTTCTTGGCCGGCATCTTGGACATGGCGAGAGGCCTGCGGCAGAGGCACGCCGCTCCTCTGCGGTCCGCCGGAAGCCAGGCGGGGCAGAGGGGCCCCGAAGACAAAGTCCGGTCGGCGCGGGGGCCGGGCCCGCGCGGTCACGGGC